GATTGGAAGAATAGAAAGATTAGATACGGAGAACAATGGGATGCACAGAATGAGTGGATGTGGTCAGTTTAACTGCTGGGCAGAGGAAGCAGTGTTGGTGCTCTCAAGCTGCATGAGTCACATGGAGATCCTCGATGTCGTACTTGCGCGTATGCTAGTACAGCTCCTGTGTGATGTGTACTCTCATTTAACGACGTATGTGAAGTGGCAAGACTCGTTCTCGTTACTGAAGTCTCCATCCATCATTATTCACTGTCCTCCCGCCTGCTTCTTATGTTGCTCTACATGTTCATTCATCGTCACTTTACACCGTCATGCACTCGCCGTCCCGCGCTACTCATCCAGGCTCAGAACAACATTATCTGACATCTTTGGAAACTGCATATCAAGTAGATCACCACGTCGTTGTCCTCCGTCTAGGTGTCTGTACTACCCATGCTAGTAGTGGAGCTCCAGAACTTGTTGCAATGTTGCAACACTTGCCTATTTCTCACTTGTCCGTACAGAAGAGCTGTCGCGTGAGATATGAGGATGCCGGTTTATATCTGTGTGGGGTAGTCGTTCCCGCTCCATCCGGACTGAAATTTGACGGCATCGTTTTTCACGGAGATTTCGCCGGAGATGATTGGAAGAATAGAAAGATTAGATACGGAGAACAATGGGATGCACAGAATGAGTGGATGTGGTCAGTTTAACTGCTGGGCAGAGGAAGCAGTGTTGGTGCTCTCAAGCTGCATGAGTCACATGGAGATCCTCGATGTCGTACTTGCGCGTATGCTAGTACAGCTCCTGTGTGAGGTGTACTCTCATTTAACGACGTATGTGAAGTGGCAAGACTCGTTCTCGTTACTGAAGTCTCCATCCATCATTATTCACTGTCCTCCCGCCTGCTTCTTATGTTGCTCTACATGTTCATTCATCGTCACTTTACACCGTCATGCACTCGCCGTCCCGCGCTACTCATCCAGGCTCAGAACAACATTATCTGACATCTTTGGAAACTGCATATCAAGTAGATCACCACGTCGTTGTCCTCCGTCTAGGTGTCTGTACTACCCATGCTAGTAGTGGAGCTCCCGAACTTGTTGCAATGTTGCAACACTTGCCTATTTCTCACTTGTCCGTACAGAAGAGCTGTCGCGTGAGATATGAGGATGCCGATTTATGACTGTGTGGGGTAGTCGTTCCCGCTCCATCCGGACTGAAATTTGACGGCATCGTTTTTCACGGAGATTTCGCCGGAGATGATTGGAAGAATAGAAAGATTAGATACGGAGAACAATGGGATGCACAGAATGAGTGGATGTGGTCAGTTTAACTGCTGGGCAGAGGAAGCAGTGTTGGTGCTCTCAAGCTGCATGAGTCACATGGAGATCCTCGATGTCGTACTTGCGCGTATGCTAGTACAGCTCCTGTGTGATGTGTACTCTCATTTAACGACGTATGTGAAGTGGCAAGACTCGTTCTCGTTACTGAAGTCTCCATCCATCATTATTCACTGTCCTCCCGCCTGCTTCTTATGTTGCTCTACATGTTCATTCATCGTCACTTTACACCGTCATGCACTCGCCGTCCCGCGCTACTCATCCAGGCTCAGAACAACATTATCTGACATCTTTGGAAACTGCATATCAAGTAGATCACCACGTCGTTGTCCTCCGTCTAGGTGTCTGTACTACCCATGCTAGTAGTGGAGCTCCCGAACTTGTTGCAATGTTGCAACACTTGCCTATTTCTCACTTGTCCGTACAGAAGAGCTGTCGCGTGAGATATGAGGATGCCGGTTTATTACCTGTGTGGGGTAGTCGTTCCCGCTCCATCCGGACTGAAATTTGACGGCATCGTTTTTCACGGAGATTTCGCCGGAGATGATTGGAAGAATAGAAAGATTAGATACGGAGAACAATGGGATGCACAGAATGAGTGGATGTGGTCAGTTTAACTGCTGGGCAGAGGAAGCAGTGTTGGTGCTCTCAAGCTGCATGAGTCACATGGAGATCCTCGATGTCGTACTTGCGCGTATGCTAGTACAGCTCCTGTGTGATGTGTACTCTCATTTAACGACGTATGTGAAGTGGCAAGACTCGTTCTCGTTACTGAAGTCTCCATCCATCATTATTCACTGTCCTCCCGCCTGCTTCTTATGTTGCTCTACATGTTCATTCATCGTCACTTTACACCGTCATGCACTCGCCGTCCCGCGCTACTCATCCAGGCTCAGAACAACATTATCTGACATCTTTGGAAACTGCATATCAAGTAGATCACCACGTCGTTGTCCTCCGTCTAGGTGTCTGTACTACCCATGCTAGTAGTGGAGCTCCAGAACTTGTTGCAATGTTGCAACACTTGCCTATTTCTCACTTGTCCGTACAGAAGAGCTGGCGCGTGAGATATGAGGATGCCGGTTTATAACTGTGCGGGGTAGGCGTTCCTGCTCTATCCGGACTGAAATTTGACGGCATCGTTTTTCACGGAGATTGCGCCGGAGATGATTGGAAGAATGGAAAGATTAGACAGGCAGAATGTTGAATGTTAGGTTATTCATAATATCGTGGAATTTTCAAATGGCAGAGCTTACCGTTAACATATTCGCAAGTGCTTCACTTGCCAGTGGATGCACCACGAATGAAGTGGATAATTATAAGGGACTTCTCATGGTCAGCAGAAGTCCACCGCAAATTACCTCCGCTCCAATCATTTATATAGCCAGCAAAGTCGTTGTATACATATGAGCAATTGAAAGAAGCCTAGAAAATGCTATTTATATAAGAGTATATTGCAAATGTGTAGCGACCGAAAAAAACTAAGTTAGGTCACCATCTTGTATTTTTAACGGATTCCACGATAAGCTAGCGATCAGCAAATGTTACATAATTAAGTGTACAATTACGCCAAGCCACTATGCCCCGACTACTACATGTGTGATAGGCAACTACGTCACACTTAATTCAAGATCAAGTTCATTGGCCAGATAGCACAAAAAAGGAGGTTTAAAATAACCGGAATGGGAGATCAGAAATACTTTTACGGCTCCGCATGCGGAGTGCATTTTTGGCATCTCAAATAGATAGCTTGTACAGAATCAATGGAATTGTAGGCGTTTGATGGACACGCATCTTTGAGTGATTAGAACGCTTAAGCTTATTGAAGGAGTAGTTTACAACACATACAACAAATTAGATTTTGATGTAGCTTGTCGCACCCAGATATTATAGGAGGCACCTTACACGGCACTCAAATAGAGTAGAGTCGGCAGAATCTCACCTAATAGCAATGTAAAAGCAATAAAACTATTAAATGTTATTGCAAAAATTATAATACGGCAAGTATTTATTTCCTTGGCCTTCCGCGGGTCTAGTGGCGATAACAGGCCAACACACTCCATTGATACAAGTTTTTTGAGCGTGTGCTCGCTCATACGAAAAATACCAAAAGTGCTCGCAATCGCAGTTTTGCAAGCAAAAAATGCTTAAGAAATTGACCTTAGGATTACGTGCGTAAAATATTCTTATGTCTAGCAAACTCGCTTCATTGGACCAGGACTTGTCGATGTAGTCTTTTTTAAAATGCGTGAATAAATCTATTATGAATGTTACAGCAACGTATGCAGGAAATACTATTTCGACCAACACGTCGTTGCTCAAGCTAGTAATAATTTACGATTGGTAAAATTAAAGAGCATTTGCTTATGCAGCTGTATTAAGAAATGTTGATACTCATGATGCAATCAGCCGCTTTACATTAGTGGATGACGTTGTTTGCACGTAATCTTATGCAAAACCGTCAGTCGCGTCAATTTCATTAATATATGGAGTGCTTTGCTCTAAATCATGTCAAGTGCATCATTATCGTAATTCCTTCGCTAGGCGTGTTAAGCTTCATTGGAAATTATCATATTTAAGCATGACAAAGCGATGCCAGACATGCTTCAAAGAATTAACTTACCCTATTAACACTTTTTACAAGTTTTACGCGGTGCATGAAACCCCCCTTATAGCATCACCATCACGGCATTGTAGATAATTTCTAATTTGCTGGTTTATAAGATTGTGCTTTGCAGCCATAAATGATAAACAAACCCTAGCAAGACAACGCAAGCTGTTCATTTACGTTTCTAAATTATCTACGATGAACGCAGGACTGCAAACTGGCTCATTTCCAATGTAAACATGGCCCATAGCATGTCACGACGCAGGTAGCACGTTTACTCTCTGTAGCATTGGCAAGCCTTTCAGAACTAGAGGGACCAACATTTACCGGGGAGAGAGAGTTTGCGGTAAATGCTAGTTTCTTATCAAATAAAGTGTTACATCGCGTGTGGCTGAGCTCGTTACGCCAACTGGATTTAAAGTAAAACCACAGCGCTTAAGAAGCGATCAAAAAGATCGATTTAAAGCGTTGATGAACGAAAACTTCAAACACACTTAGGCGCATCTGTAACAGGGCTCCCTTTGTTTGGGATGCCACGGAACTTTACGTACACTAGTACGTGCAGAGGAAGTTAATCTTCTCAACAACTATGTTGAGTAAAGGGTAGAAAGAGAACTGTATTTTATACATAGTTAAGCTATTGATGTAACTTTAATCTTCATCTCACTATATTAAACTACGTCGTCGTATGACGACAACCTGCTCAACGCTCATTGCGCGCGTCTAGCAGCGATGGTGGTAATCCATGATTGTTATGTCTTTTATCAAAGATTCTTTGAGCAGCGCATGAATATTACCCTACAAAGAGGTTAACAATCCTTCAATCTGATTCATCTCGGATAGTATTAGTAGGGATTTGTCACGCTACACAATCTCCCTATTGACACCGTTTGTGTCAATATCATGTAATGGGCTACACCGTAAAATCCCCCTTTAATCAGCAATCACCCGTTGATGGAATTTACCTGATCGGTACAGGTTGACCACCGTTGGATCACTCTGGCAAAGGGAGCACTTGTTGGTCAAATTCCACTCATTTGCGAATCCAACACATGGTGTCCAAATCCATGCGCGTTGCTACTGCAGCAGCATCAAAGGCGGCAGCGTGCATAGGTGCAGCCGAAGAGAGTGATTTTCAACCCTCAGCAGCAGGTGATCTATTGCCTACTGTTGTTCACAGTCCACGTGGTGAGGTAGCACGTGCGACAAGTACATCCGCTGCGTCTTCAGCGGGTGCCGCGAATCGCAATGTAGATGAGCCTGGGATTAAGCTCTACTATTCTGGCGAGTTAAATGATCCATCCGACTTGAAGGCGACACCTCACGCCTCCGAATCACCCGGGCGGACACTCTAAGAGCCAAGTTGACTGGCTCTGGTGAACGTGGCGGTATCAGGTCCAAGATCTTCGGATCGAGCGATCGTTCTTACTAATCCTTGCCTCACGCAAGTCCTAGCAACTCTAGGACGCGTGAAGATAGGGGTGATGCACCTATACATCACCACGAGTGAATTAATTCGAGGGATTGGGGTGGCACTGGTGTCAGTGCTCATGCTGGCACCACTCAAGAGGCCAGGGACCAAAATATCCTGCGCCATTCTTCTCAAGTGGATCGATATTTGATGCCCTCATCCAAAGATTTAGATCGAGTGGCTTGCATGACCACCGAACGGGATCGAATAGCGTTATTTAACTGATGGAGGATCCGTCCTTCTAATTCTATCACGAAAACTATTAGTGCTGAGAAAAAATCTACACCGATGTGTGTTTCAAACATCGGTGGTACAACGGAAATCGTGGTCGAGACGGCAAGGCCTTGGTGCAAGGACGGAAAGCGTTCATACATAACATCGAGTGCATTGGCCGCGAAGCCTGGCTCGGTATATGTGATGCACTCGCATCAGGTTTGAGGAGCTTAACTCAGTCTTTGTACAATACACGTTGCACCGACTTTCAAAAGAGGCAAGATAACCCTGTCTCTCGTGGGTTGAAACCTGTCCAATTTGTATGGACAACTCAAACTGTGCCCCTAGGGAGGTCTATCTCCCTAATGTTCCCTACTCAAGAGCGCGCATCTCTTCTGAGATGGCTATAGAGATTGATACTTTGCAATCCCTGTACCCACGTTCGAAAAAATCGTTTGGAGACGGCCATTCTTCGAGCGCAGCAGATGGGTCTCGTCATATTGCTCGACGAGACCCAGGAGATTAACTATCAGCTGGCCACGAGGCTCCCAGCTGTCCCAGGCCGGTGGATAGACACGCCAGCGAACGAGGTAAATCGTCCGGGCGCCTATCACGTCGCGGTGGTTTAAAATAAGATCCACCAGAAAGCGTTGATAACCGTCGAAATCCATTGAATTAGGTGGTGGTGTCGGAACCACCTGATCCGGATCGAGGGTCGAATCAGATCGATGTTCAGAAGCTGAACCGTGTAACGGAACACTAACAAGATGAACTGACCTATAAACGGACTCAACGTTTAGAGCTCCATGACCTTGTAAAGGATAACTACAATTACTCAGCGCACAATCGTTCGAACGATCCTGCCGCGTTTGCGTTTGCACAACTTGAGAAAGAACGTTCGATTCGTACTCTTCGTGACGAGCTGGCTGCAGCTCGTCATTACATCGCTCATCTGCGTGAGCATATTGCTTCGCTCGTCGACCAGACTGGCTCGTCGAATCGAGACCACTCGAAGGTAGTTTCGGTTATTGACCGCGCAGGTGTTCTTCGCATCTCGGAGCGGGCTCGTACTGATAGTATGGGCGGAGATGTCCAACGTTGAACGTAGGATGCATTTGCATTTTACAGGGCAGTTCAATCGTGTATGCGCTGCCCATTCGGCGCAACACACGAAATGGACCGATGTACTTAAGCAGTAATTTACTGCTGCCCACGTTTGTCGCTGCGTGTTTCGGTAAGTTTACTTTAGACAGTAAAACTAAATCTCCTTCATCATTGAATGAAAGAACATTTGATCATCTATGTTTGTCTTCGCTTCTCTTCTGTTTGTCTAGTGCGTCTGCAAAAGATTCTTGAACAAAACGGACAACCGCTTCGCGAGTCAGCAGAAATTCCTCTGCTAATTCACCCTTGTCAACAGCAGTGCGCTTCGTGTGCACTGCTGAAAGAACGTTGATTTCGTCAGTGAGGGTGTCACCGTCCTTACTGTGGCAGTCGTTGGCGATTTTGAACCTACTAGCATCGTCGTCATCATCGTCATCGGTGTCTACGTGATCGACATTGGTATCCAACACTTCGACACCGTTGTCGACGAGTGATAAGCAAGAACCAGATCGTATGTGGTTCGAGCGAGTCCACCCCCCCCCCTAAATTATAGTCACACTCTATGAAGGTGGTAAACGTGGATGGCGTAGACCATTCACGAAAACGGTGTATGCGAGGTTGACGCATGCACCGAGTTGGTGAGGGAGAATTCCGCCATCGGCAAGAAATCACTCCAGCTCGCAAGCGATTGGATGGTATTTGACGTACTCTCAAAGCATCTCTCCGAGGAAGCGGTTGATGCGTTCCGTCTGACCATCTAGTTCCGGATGGTTAGAAGCCGACATTTATAAACGCGTTTTAAGTGAATGGAGCTCGGATTGCCAGAACTCCGCTGTAAAGCGGGGGTCTAACCCGTGAAGTCGGAGGATATTATTAATGGATACACGAGCACAGCCCTGGGCAGTTAATGACTCCGGTACAGCAACAAGATGAACCATCTTGCTGGAACCGATCAAAAAACACAAGAATACCAGTATTCTTGTGAACTTCTTTGGGAAACCCAAAGACGAAGTATATCGATACGGACTGCCAGCACTCTGCCAGAATCGGTAGAGGCTGCTAGAGCCCACGGGATGAATGAGTAGGCTTCACCCGTTGGCAACTTTCGCAAGCGCGAATGTATTCGCGCACAATTTCGTACTGGCATGGCCAGTGTAGGTCAAGACTTACCGTGAGGTAAGTCTCTTTCCTAGCACGATGCCCACTTGTCGGGGCATCGTGATACTCTTACATGATGCGCAATCGCAAATTATCATGAGCGGGAACGACGACACGAGGCGTGGTGCCGTTGACTGCTGTACAGTACAGCAGTTTATCACGAACCGAATACCGTTCGGTTGAAGAGCGGTATTGAGACGACAAGCTTTTCAAATCTTGACTGCACGAATTGTATACGTAATCCATCAATCACACAAGAGACCCATCTTCTGCGTATGATGTCCGCACGTCGTCGAGCAGATTTGACGACGGAACACATACTGATAGTGTTGCCACAGTGGGATCACCCATACTGTTGTGTTGCGCAGTTGGCTCGAAATTCGGGCCAACGCGAAAGAGCATCAGCGACGACATTAAGTTGCCTTAGTTTGTACTCGACGGAGAAATTGTACCTCGCGAAGAAAGACAGCCACCTCGCCATTCGTTGCAAGAGTTGAGGACTATTTACGGCCGTGCGTAATGACGCATGGTCGGTTTAAACGATGAAGGGCCTATCTCCAAAGAGACATACCCGAAACTTAGCCAGTGCATATTTTACGGCAAATAGTTTCTTGCTATGCACCGGGTAATTACGCTCAGCTGCTTGCAGCTGACGCGACTGATAACAGACGAAGCGCTCAACGCCGTCTGAGTCGTACTGCATTAACGCGCAGCCAATTGCAAATCGCTGGCGTCACAGACCACATAGAATGGTCTGTCCTATTCTGCAATCGCCAAAACAGGCGATTGTATCAAGCTTTTCTTGATACCTTTGAAGAGTGCTGACATTCAGCACTCCATGACCACTTCTCGTTTTTCTTGAGCAGACGAGAGAGATGTACGGTCATCTCGGCGTAGTTGCGCGAGTACTTGTGCAAGTACACCGCTAAGCCAAGAGGCTTTCGAATTCCCTTGACGTCGACTGGAACAGACCAGTCGCTAATCGCCTTGACCTTTTCCGGATCAGGGTATACACCGTTTTTACCCACGCCGCAGCAAAGAAGTGGTATCTCGTTCGCTGCGAATATACACTTTCTTTAGGTTCGCGAACAACTTATGCTCTCCAATTAGTGTAAGAACCTTCCGGACGCGAATTGTATGAACCCCCATGTCTGTCATTCCATCCATAGTCCGGCTATGGACGAAGACATCGTCGAAGTCACTCATTGCGAAATCGCGCACCGATCGCAACAGATTTGTAACACATATGTCGAACGTTGCAGGGGCGTTACTTAGCCCTTGTGGCATCATTAGCCACTCCTAGAACATACCACTGGGGGTGCTCACTGCTGTGTAAGGAATTTCCCGTTCACGAATGAGGATCTGAAGGAATCCTTCCATCAAATCCATGGACGAAAAGATGGTACTTTTCCCATACCGTCTATGATGACGTCCCTTCTCATTATCGGCGCTTGAGCTGGTACCGTTGCAGCGTTCAATTTGTTGAACGCGTGCACTATCCGCCACCCTCCTGTGGCCTTTCGCATACAGATGGTCGGACAGCTGTGTGGGGATGATGACTACCTCACATGACTAGCCGCTAAGCGATCGGCAAAGAATTTTTCAATCGCTGTGACCTGTTTACGAGGCAGTGGCCACTGCTTCATTACACAGTACTTAAAACGGGTTTCAGTTCGATCTCATGCCAAGTGCCTTTGTCCTTAGGCAGCTTGCATGGCACGGATTCAGGAAACATATCCCTGAATTCGACCACTTACTTACACAAGGATTTGTCTTCAAAGACTCCCAAGATTGAGGCGTGAATCGTTCAAACCAAGTCTTCGCATCGAGGACAATCTCGTCCATCGATGAGCTCCTGAGAACTTGTTCGTTCTCAGCAAACACTTGTGCCGACCTAGATATCGGCGGCGTACTCGTCCTCTGTGACGAGTACGCAGATCTGCTTGATCTTGTCACTACGCAGATCTCGCAAGAAACTTGTAGATTCTAGCTTTGGCAACTTGACCACCTCCAAAGCTGACTTCGGGGGCGTCACCAGATCAAGTTTATAAGCGCCTACACTTGATCCGTCATTCACGAAGACATTCACTGTCTCGGTGATTTCCTGGGAAAACACATCCGCGTGTGGTCGGGGAAAACACCCATCAACATAACTCTCTCGGGAGTTATCACTTTCAGAAACGCTGGAACTTTCTTCCAATACGTTTACTGACTATGGGCGTACTATCACGGTCCCGTCCTCTTCGATCGACTCTCTTTCAGTCGAGCGGGCTTGCTCTACGAACGACTCTCTGATAGTCGATCTCGCTTCAACGTGTTGTCCATTTTAAACAGCACTACACTCTTTTCTTGGATGCACCCTTCTTGGTGCGCATCCGTATTCCAGTCCACTTGATCTCTTCGAAGGTG